TCCAGTAAATTCCGACCCGGTTACATATAACATCATCCATCATCACTACTTATAACACCAACCATCATCACTACATATAACACCATCCATCATCACTACATATAACATCATCATCCATCATCACTACACCATCCATCATCACTACAGATCGTAAGTAGTTTCAGATTCTCATCGGACACACACACACAAACAAACACGGACATTTTATATATATATATGTATATATATATATATATATATATATATATATATATATATATATATATATATATATATATATATATATATATATATATATATTTTGATAAAATCACACGGAAAATGGAAACAAGGTACTTAGCTTTCGTCTTTATTCCATTTTCCCGTGTGATTTATCAAGAATTATCTCATCACGTTTTCATTGTGGATTTACATGAAATATATATATATATATATATATATATATATATATATATATATATATATATATATATATATATATATATATATATATATAATGTCGTGTTTGTTGATGATGGTTGGTGTTAGAAATGATAGTGATGATGGGTGGTGTTATATGTAGTGGTGATGATGGATTATGTTATATATAGAATATGAAAAGTATCCCTCTGTTGTCATTGGCAACATGGATAAGAAATGTAAATACTGCGGTGCAAAGAAGTACAAAGGAGAATCTGCTGGACTGTGCTTCTCTCATGGGAAAGTACGACTACCAAATTTGGTAAAACCACCACTACCATTGAAAACTCTCATGCTGGGAACAATACCAGAGTCAAAACACTTCTTGGAAAATATAGGGAAGTACAATTCATGCTTCCAGATGACATCCTTTGGAGCTACCAGAGTATTTCGTGAGCACAGATACATGCCCACATTCAAAGTCCAGGGTCAATTCTATCACAAAACCGGATCACTCTTACCACTATCTATCCAAGAAATGCTGACTGTATGTACAGTCATTTAAAAATGCCCTGGAAAACATGCCTTCTGACGAGTACAAAGTCAGGATCAAAGCAGACACCTTAATGCACTACAGTGAGACAATGTGGAGCCTCCCAGGGGGTGGCGTTTACCGTGGCCTAGCGAAAGAGCTGTGTGTGTGTGTGTGTGTGTGTGTGTGTGTGTGTGTGTGTGTGTGTGTGTGTGTGTTT